ATATCACTGAAGCAAGCAAGCCTCATGTTAGTTTCAAGCTGCCTGGCCGCGGCCGCCATCTTGGCTGGCAGTTAATTTGCATATCACCCTGATTAGCCAATGGGAAGGGTAGTGGTCGTATGCTAATTACCATGTTTCTCTTTTATTAGCTAGGATTACACCCCTTTTCCTCCCACAGCTACTTGCTTGTTGATGGCAGGCGTTTCATCTTGTTCACCTTTGTATCTTCAGGGTGCATCCCTCATTCAGTGAGTACACATCAGCACCTGTTATGTGCCAGGTACAGAGTTAGGCTCTGGGAGTAGAGACAGACCTGGCTTTATTGTGCTTTGCTTTCTTGCACTTCACAGGTGTTGTGTTTTTACAAATTGAAGGCAACACCCTCCACCAGCAAAAAGGTTGCTGCTTGCTTTATGGTGCTGCTCCCTTTATTACAGTGGTCTGGAACCGAACCTGCAAAGGCCTGCCTGCGCAGCAGCAAACAAGACAGGAGTGGATGAGTGGGTGTGCCCTGTCTCTCGGGTGCTCGGGGAGCCGTTATAAACGCACCTGAGCTCTGCCTCAGGCCTGGCAGGTCCAGTGCGAGGCCCTGGGCTCTGATGCAGGAGAGCTGTGAGCTGAGAAGCTCCTGGCCTTGCCCTCCCACTGTCCAATCCCCCATGAGGGCACATTGTTTCTGGCTTCTGGGTTATCCAGGGAACAGCAGGAACTGGGTGCTGACTAGAGAGAGAAATAGCCCAGCTAGAAGCTGAAATGTGTTGAGGGCTCCAGCCCCTTCTCACAGGCACCTCCTTGACATTACCCCTCCCCCCTCCCCCAAATGCTGGGAACTCTAGGTTGCTGTGTGTCACCTTCAGTCACTAAATGTGAGAAATTTATTTGAAAATTAACAAGCTTGCAGGCTGGATGTCCTCATTCTCCCCACTCCACCACGATTTTGTTCAACCCCTCTTTTATAGATGGGGAAACTGAGGCCTGAAGAAGGCACTGGCTATGAGGCAAGAGTACCAGAGTCACCACTTGAACTCTAACTGGAGTTCTTCTCACCATACCTCGCTGCTGCTCTTATTACTAGTTGCAGGGAAGTAATAGGGATAATAAGTCAATGGAGTGCAGGTTGGGGGAATTAGTTTCCAGACACAAAGCAGAAGAGCTGTTTAGATGAACCAAGTTAACGGGTTAATTTTTCCACAGTCACTGCGGTGGGAATGGGCAAGAAGGACTGGCCTCAGGGTTTTATTTACCATACCCTTCACCCATAAAAGGGGAGCCCTTGGAGGCAGTGCCTGATTTTTCTGGTTTGATTGCAGTTCTACCCTCTGGCAGGCACAGGGTCGAGCAGTTGGTAAATTTCTGTTGAATGACCAGGCTTAAAGACTTGAGGAGAAGGGTGTTAGGAAAAAAGAGTCAACAATGTAGCAAGCACTTTCCTTGGGTTATTTTCTTTATTCTTTGCTACAGCTCTTTGAGAAGTGGTATTTCCCCCATTTTCCAGATGGGGAATTAAAACTCAGGGAGAATAGGTGAGTGACTTAAAGTAATTGGTTTGGATTTGAGCCTGGGGCTGAGTGAATTTTGGCTCCATTCTATTTCTTTGGTCATATTTGCCCAGGCTCTACGGGAATCATGCCCATTTTCCCATTCCCTACCATTTCAGACCATCCACGCAAAGAAACATGACTTTTGGCAAGACCTAGGTGAATTGTACACAGGCTGGCGTGGTGTAGGGATAACTTGTACCTTTTTTTTCTTTTTCAGGAATGATCACCAAGACCCACAAAGGAGACCGGGGCCTTTGGCTTCCAGAGAAAAACAAGAAGAAGAAGGTGGTGGTTAAAGAACCAGAGGCTCAGTACTTGGTTTTGAACAGTAACAGCTATAACACTGAGGTCTGTCCCACCACAGCCGTGTCACCCACGAAGAGTGGCATCCAGGGCCAGGCCAAGACCCCTCTGGTGAAGAAAAAGAAGAAGAAGAAGAAAAAGAAGGAGTACAGCACTGTCTGTGAGGAGCTCCGAGAACCTGAGACCACGTTCTGTGCCAGGCAGACAGAGACGTCTCCCAGCCCCAGGACACAGGCTCTCATTCCACCCAAGTTCCTCAATGGGGAGAAGAAAAAGAAGAGGAAGTCCTCATGGCCTCTGGCTCTGTCTCCTGGTGTGAGGGTGAAGACCTCCCTGGACCCCAGACAGGTCGAGGAAGTGACCAGCGTTGGCAGAAAGCTCAAAAAACACAAGAAGGAGAGAAAGGCCCAGGAGGTGGCAGCCTTCTCGGCCAGGGACGCCCTGCATGCATGCTCAGTGGGAAAGAATGACCAGCAACGGGCAGCCTTGGGGCAGAAGAGGAAGCAGGGAGGCCCCAGGGAACACAACGTGAACAAGAAGAAGAAAACGAAAACCCACCAGGAGGAAGACACTTCCCTTGGCCACCCCAAGCCTTACAGGTCCATGGAGAGCAGTCCTAGGAAAAGATGTGCAAAGAAGCCAGTCAGAGTTGAGGCTTCAGAGTACATCGTGGTAGGAGACAGCCTCAAGGCCCCTGCGAAGAAGAAAATGAAGCCCACTAAAAGGGCTGAGGAGCCAGGCACTGAGGAGCCAGCTCTGAAGAGGAAGAAAAAGAAGAGGAAGGAGAGCAAAGTAGCAGAACTTTGGAAGGAGGTAGGTTGTCCTTCAGGGTGGAAGTTGGGAGTGTGTGTGTGTGTGTGTATGCAGCGCACGTGTACTCAACTTTTTAGTGTCAGAACCTTTTTTATACTGACTTAAGCCAGAAGAGGGATTTATTGACATGTTCAACTGACTTCCTGAGAGGTGAGTCTGGCCCAAGAGGAGGGGCTCCATTAATTGACTGAAGG